ACAATGGAAACAGCCAGAAAGCTGTGGCCTCCGATAGCTGGCGGTATAATAATGTTTACGACACGTAGTACGATCGCCAAGCCTACAAGCTTGGTGATTACATTCTTCCGCCACGCCATTTTTATTTAATGTTTGCCTATGCTTTAAGTTAAATCTTCATCTATAATCGTTTAGTGGTTCTTTAGTTATAAAACTGGATTTATTATTATATTCATATTTAAGACAATTTTAATTTATGTTATTTAAGCCGAGTTCTATTTATATTGGTAGCATGCGTAGATGACACATGTTTGCGCGTCATTTAGAGATCAAAAATTAAAGTGGTTATAGACTACGTGCTAGAAGAGATACTGAAACTTGGTTATTTGCAACACGTGCTAGAGCCCACGGGTTCAAACTTACTTAGCCTGTGCCTGTGTGCCATGAACGCTGTGCCTCCTTCCACGCGCTCCGCACTGACGCATAGATTTTGATCACGCCACAGAATAAATAATAGAGCGTGGTGTCTGTTCTAGTACTTAGTACATTTTATTTCAATACACGTTTGAGATACAAATAAAATATAAATGAAACTACCACAAGTGTTTTATTTTTCCACAAAATCACACAAATTTTAATTTTATTTATTGATTGGGTTCATCAACAAATGTTACATCACTACTTATGCTTAATTCTAAAACGATAATATAAACTAAGTGCACATTTAATAAAAGGTAAATACCGCATCATGTTATAGTACATTTCATTCATTTATGGTGTCCATTCCACACCTACGTGTCATATTTTTAGAGCTATTACGTTCATAGCAAACTTTACGATTGTAATCCATCAGTATGATTACTACTGTAATGAAAGAAAGCAATCAATAAACGTATGATTCCAGTTACTACACACCTAATAATGTTTTATGTCGATATGTTAGTGTTAGTGTCTGTACGGCGGTACTGCAATATTTTTGAGTTTGTCGCTAGTTTAGTAGGCTATCGTACGTCTGTCATTTCATAGACTCATATATTTAAAAGGTCTGAATTCTGTATTGCTATATTATATTAATTATTTTTTTACGTAGTAGAGCTACGCTGCAGGTATATTACCTATAGTTGTAGCATGAATGGGTCGAGTCGGCAGGGGTGGGACACGCTCTCAAAGAATACCAGCCTAAAAGTGTTTCGTATGGGGAGTGTAGAGAAACGGACACCCTTTTTACTGGAAGTATTCCATCTTAGTCTTCAGGGGTGACAACGCATCTGCATTTTGAGTCGAGTATGGATGTAGATATCTATGAGCCGTAGCAGCACCTAATTCAAGTGGACTATGTCTTCTATTGTACTACACACTACACAGCGGGATTGCCATCCCTATATCATCCTGTGGGCTGTCTTAAGTTATTGAGTCGATAATCTTACTGATAACAACTCAATAAAAACTTAATATGTAGCCCATGACATGTATTTCCCCCTATGAGGCAACCTATGGGAAAGGTCTTTGTTCAGCGGTGGACTCGATAGGCTGTTATGTATGACGAACAATATTGGTAATCCATTATTTATTCGATGTAATGACGTTATCACATATGTTAATATAAAATATAGTGTACGGAACAATTTATATGTTATGAACAAATATATTATACAATTTATTGTTTACCACATATACAGGGTAATTTTTAAATGACCCTGTATAAGTATAATGTGTTTATTATAAGGATTAAGTACAAAGACTTCGTAGCGCTAATACGTAGGTACGTAATATGTAATAATGCTCATACATAAATATAAATAGACGAATAGCATGAATTATGTATTAGGTTGTTTTCCTGAACTTTACAAGTTGTTAATACAATGTAATGCTACTATAGAAGGCTTTACTACCATCTCGTTTTCTTACTAATGATCATCAGATCAGCAACATCAAAGATACATAACTCAGTTTCAATTTGCCGACGATATAGTACTTATGGCAGAATTACTGGAAGACCTTAGCATTTTCCTCAATGCCCTCAATAGTGCCTCCCAATGAATAGGTCTTAAATGAACATGGAGAAGACAAGATTACGTTTTACGTCCATGTCACATTTATGCCGGTAGTTGTTGCAGCACTACGCTCAAAGCTGTTGACGAGTATGTTTACTAACTTCGTCAGATATGTTAATCAACGGATCCCATTCAACTTTTTGTTCGCTTACTAAGCATGGTGCGATTTCCATGTCATAATGTAGCAATCGACCGTTTGGGAGCATGAGGAATGTAATTCTTATAATTTAGAAAAAAATTACATCATAATATTTTATAAGAAGTGACTTTAAACATTATGTTATCGAAGCGATGCACGATTGACGAAGCAATTTCAATGTTCACACTCAAAAGATCGAGAAGAGAAAGAGTAGCCGTCATTATATTACGAAGTGTCTGTAAAAACTATTTTTTATAACAAACTACTCGTTCGACAAGCTGCACTTGCAAACTTGCGCGGGTACCGTGGCTTATTCCACTAGCGTCGCCTCGCGGCTTCGGCTTTTCGCATGGAATTGAAAATTATGGCATTTTATATTAAATCCCCTTTCTTCCCGTAGGAATTTCGAAAAATCTTTAACATTGCTAATATTCCCTTTAACCATTTTGGTAAGCTTAAAATGATGTTAGGAGTAGTTTACTACAGTAGTCGAATGGCGGATTCTAACCCACGACATTTTGCAATTGCAATTCATTTTGCAGTCCGCACCCTTTTGTTAGGCTACTGTCGCTTCCTTATTCCTTGCCTACGTTATAAAGGGACTTCTGTGCAAAATTTCAGCTTCCACGGGTTTGTGGCGGACGTTGATCAGCGAGTGATTACAGTGAGTGGGTGAGTGAGTCAATCGAGCCTTTTGATTTTATATATATTGATAAGGCAATCTATGATATAGATATTCTGTCTATTCTAGTCTACTGCTGAACGTAGGCCTACCCCATTGATTGGTTTATTGGGGGGATACGTGCCACAGTTGTGATGCTTGGCAGTCGGGTTGAGGGCAGTTTTGTCAGTTTTGAAGGTTAAATATCCAGGTCAAATAGCCAACTAGCGTAAGAGCCAGGCCGAGGACCAGGTCGCAACTAAATAGCACAATAGCGTTGGCCCTAAAATATGGCAGTTTAGGGCCAACGTGACTTTAATTTACACCAGGGTTGGATTCAGACCCTCAAAAATATTGTATATCGAAAATAAAATTATACTTACTATTTTTCCAAAATTATACCACGTTTGGTCTATAATATAGATATATAATATAGCATATTATGCAGCAGTGGACTTGTTACAGGCTGTAATAATGATCTCGTTCGGCAAGTTACGATGGTTTAAAATAAAACGAATTAAGTTGTTAAGCCTGTAGTACTCGTAGTATGACAGGTGCCTCCCAAATGAATAGAAAAGAAAGAAAGCGAAACGACACAAAATAAGAAACCAGTAAATGGCCATGTATCCATTCGAAAATGCCAAACATAAATAAGCCTACATACTGGAGATGGGCAATAGCTTTACCAATGCGAAGGTATAGAATCTGTGTATCACGAAGTGATGAGTATGAAAATTATACAAATCTCACAAGTGTTTGCCTATTGACGCATTTTCGAAAAGCCTATGTCCAGCAAGTGGACTGTTAAAGACTGACGATGATGATGTCCATATAAATATTTTATATCATAAAATTAAAAATTAAAAAAACCTAAAGGCGACTATAGATATAACTCTGAATTAGGTAGTATTCCCATACGAAATTAACTTAAATATTATCATATAAATTTCGAGTGGAGTTCTAAATTTAAAAAAAGTTAACGACCCGCAAGCAATAACACGGTCAATGGATTCACTTTTAATTAAAGCCTACGTGTCTAGTTTAGATAAATCGCAATATTACCAATACCCATTGTGTTCACTACTGGAATGCCTCAGGGTTCCCGTTTTGGTTCAAATTATTTTACAAGATAATATATTGGTTACACTAGATTGGATCACAGATTTCTACCTGAAGCACCCTCATCATTGTCACTTTTTGTATGAGGTGCTACAAATTTTTGTGAGGAAAAGGAGCGGAAGGCTTCGTATGTTGTCGCATACCAAATAAAATTTATAGTTCCAACAGGGAGATAAAACTCAGTTTAATGCCATGATATGTGTCTCTAAAATGTATCAATAAAATTTAAACCAGAGAGTAAACACAGAGAGATTCTAGACCTTTGTCTAGAGTCTCCTATATGGTTGAATCCGACTCTGTTCATAATTCTTATTATATAAATGTGTGCTATATAAACATACATATAATAACTGTTCTTAAATTATTGCGAAAATTGATATAAAAACAAGACAATAACAGCGAGCAGGCTTATACAGGTCGTTTGTATCACGCGTAACAAACTAGTATTAAGGTCATCGCATTAAATCATCAAAGACAATAAAAAATATAACGATTACAGCGCAGACAACGCAGTTAATATTATGTAAAGCGAAGATTGCTTTATAACCGAGTCATTCTGGACATTGTAAACAAACTCAAAGTAATTAATAGAATCAGGCGTTACTTTGCGGAATGTTAAAAATTGATTACAATTAAGGTTAGAAGAAGAAGAGCTAGAATAAAATATTTTATTTCTTAACTAGCTGTTTCCCGGCACGTTGCTACCGCAGAAGAAAAAATTTTGGAAATATCGTTTTGAATTTGGAAGAGCTATATTGTTTAATTAGGAATGTATTGATTAGAGTTCAATGATATAACTTTCATATAAATTTGTCGGTACGACACGCGCGCCACCAACTGTAATTTAATTGCACTATGCCTATAACCTTTGCACAAGTGCCAGCAATAAGTTGACAAAGTTTTACCGCAATCTGATGAACGGTATGGCAGCGTATAAAATAGGAACAAACAAATAATAATTTTTATATATATTAGATTACACGGATCTTAGCTATTGAATTTTTAACATTTTTAATAAACTCAAAGTAAGATGGTTGAAATTATTTACCATATAGTATCCGTCGTGGTGGTCTTCGCATCTGAGCACCATATGCGGCGGCGTCTGGCTCTGCATCAGGAACACAAGTACCAATAATGATCCCCATAATCACCATAACACAATAAAATCACCAACGAAGCGTACAAAACAAACACCACCACGGTATCCACTATCAACTCATATTTGTTTATATTCGGAAACAACGAAAAATATTATAAAATTCTACTTCTTCATGACCCGTTCGAAAACTTTATTTTTATTTACTTTTTTAAGCTACAGACGGTTGTCACAGTGATCGATGCAATATAACTGGTCAGTGGTTTGTGGTGTCGGTGAGTTCCTCGTCACATTTGGCACGCGAGCGGTGACGTCACGAAGCTCGGCGTGCGTCACTTGCCCCAGGGCCGGATAGTGGTATTGACTGCCACTGACTGATTTGTCAACAGGTTGGTAAGTGCAGTAGCTTCAATTTGAGGACTATTTAACGAAATCTTAAGTACTTCCGTAAATACGTTCTCGATGAAACTTGGCACAATTATTATGGCATCAAATTGTAGAACAACTTGTTTAATTCGATTCTCGTTCTGCTTTTATCTAAAGACCAGATATAAAATCCTTTTGTTATGCATATAATGACATTATTATGTCTGATGATAATGTATAATCTGAAAATTAATCTCATAATAATAAATAGTAATGATCGCCCTCAATTTCATTTAAACACAAGATAAACAATGACATCATCAAATAACCACACAGCGCTCGATAAATACATAATAAATATACGTTATTAATAAGTTGTATTTTTTTAAACCTGTTTTGGTAACGGTAAGCTTGACTGGATCGAAAAACTAGTATTATTTATAAGGAGAACGGGATCCTCTAATAATATAAGGAGAACAGTGCGACGCTACGGTTGAAATAGAAAGGGATCCTTTGATTAAATTGAAACAGTGCTGCATGGAGCTAACCAGAATTACTTATTACATCGTAAGTACAGTGCAAGTTAGTTGCATTCAACCAAACACTTAATAAAGACAAGATACCTGTATTTATTTCCTAACATTTGCTTTGTATTAAGGTTACTATTACAAGCGATAATTATGATAAACGGCTTTACGGCTCTGCGTTCTAGCCCTTCTGAGCCTGAAGTTACAATGTATAATTATCTTTAAAAATTAGAAATGTCACGAATGATACATTCATCAAAAATTTACTTTCACATTGATTCACAAAGAGTTTGTTTACGTTTGCACTATTAATTAATATCAGTGCCTCTAGTTTTTGTTGTGAGACAACATCCAAAAGCAATATTATTAGCATTTAAGTCATCTGTCAGTCAGTTAATAATTTGTTTTAATATTCTGACCTTAAAGCGACCTCCACTGAGTGGGGCATAGATACATAAAATATATTACCTAGACTCGTAGTAAGGGTTATAGCTACCGACTGCATATAATCATAAAACACTGCGGGGACAACAAAATATTTGAAACTATTTTTAATTAATGTTGCTACTCCTCCATGTCCGTTTTTTCCATTCTGATTAATAAAATTATAGTTAGGAATGTTGATAGTTCTATTCTCTCGCAGCCATGTTTCATTTAACAGGCAAAATCATTCTCAACTGAATAATTAATAAGCAAAAGCTTTTTATTATTAACAGATTGTATATTAAATTGTGAAATGCGAATAAATTGTTTATTCATTATTTTTAAGATTAGTAATAAGCACTTCTTTTATACTTGATGTAGTAAATTTACGGCCTAAGTTACCCATGGCCACCAATGCTCCAATAATTGTTTTCAAAATATTGTCATTTGTTATAATTTGGTCACTAAGAGTGTCATTATTATTAGTTGTGGTATTAGTTTGGGTAGTTTCCATCTTTGATTTGTGTACTTTAGGAGTGTAATAAGATTTAACTTGCGATTGATTTACTATTTTTGAATCTATTGTTTTTTTTGTAGGCATTGAAAGGAAATTTTCATTTTTTTTTCATTCATTCATTACAGCCCTTCACAAGTCCACTGCTGAACATAGGCCTCCCCCAAAGAATGCCACAAAGCACGGTCCTGAGCCACCTGCATCCATCGACTTCCTGCATATCTTACCAGGTCGTCACTCCATCTAGTGGGGGGACGCCCTACACTTCGCCTGCCGGTACGAGGCACGGTACGGTAAATTTTCATTATAATTGTTAAATAAATTTTGAGTTTGTTTTGTTTGTAAGACTTTAGCATAAGTAGACATGATATTTTTCATCAATTTTTGAGAAAAAGAAAGAGAAATTTTCCTTACATTCCGTATACCGCTGTTCATCTGCACAAATTGAACACCGTTGCACTGATTTACATATTTTCGCTCCGTGATTAAATTTAAAGAATTAAAACATTGTTATGCTGAACGGTTTGATCTGTCCATTAAGTTTTTTTGTAAAACGACCCACTGCGACGACCCCATGTTTCGATGATAGTTTTTTAAACAGCTCTTCATTACCTGAGTACAAGATTGTATCCACCGCCCTTGCTGGTATAAATGCTTGTAATCATATTTCTCTAAGAAGCATTCATTTTTAAAAAAGTCGTTGCGTTAATCGCCCGAGCAAACACCACCCCTAATTTAGAAGCGTTTATTCCTCTTATGTTAGTGGCTCCTTTGATTTCGTTTTTAAAAATTCCCGGTAACATTAAGGGATTATTGCCTAGTTTAACTCTTTCTTTACGAGTCTCAATAAAAACCGTGTATTCAGCCATTCCCATTTACTCCATGCCTTTATCCATACCGTCACTATCAGACGGTATTTCTTTTAATTTCCTATAAAAATTAGAGAATTTTCCTTCAGAAGTTGAATTTAAAATGAGGCTTTTATAATTTTAATTTAAAAATCCGCGCTTCTTTCTCCCACCAGGCAATGGGAATCACTTAGTCAGAACTATCTATTTTGTTGACCAACTGTTTTATCACTGACGCATTAAATAATTTGACATAAGTAAAATCTAAATAAAACAAATTAGTAAATTACCTGTTAATCTAGAAGTATGTAATTTAGAGCTAACAAAATGTGTAACAACAGACCAAAATTAGAACAAAATAAGAGACAAACATAAATAAAACAATATAAAACAAAGTAGTAATAGTAAATAACTAAGTCAACACAACAAAGGTCAGGAGAACCACACGCATACTATGAACTATTCGAGTTACATATCAGATAGAATCGGAAAAATACTGAACCATTTTACTAAAACGTACGTGACGTAAGCAATGGCACTGAATAAAATTGTAGTTTCTTTTTATAAATTTAGACTAAGGATAAATTATTTTTAAAAGGTTTATTTTAAAACTGTATAGTTTTTAATTCGAGAGCAATAATTCATTTCGTATACTAAATATAATACAAAGATTGGCTCAACAAAGTTACGTGCCTTTATTGATCCTTCTTTTGAACGTTAGGAAAAGTAAAACAAAGATATTCTATGTGTGTATATACAGTTACTTCACATATGATTGAATTATATCCATTTTAAGAATTTAAATGGATTTTTATTTATTTTTATTTTATAGAAATAGGGTGACAAACGAGCACACAGTCCACCTGATGTTAAGTCGTTGTTGTGGCCCATAGAAATCTACATCTATCCTCGTTTGCGAATCAGAATGCAGATGCGTTGTCCGCCTTGAGGACTAAGATGGAATGCCTTTTTTCCAGTAAAAAGGGTGTCCGGTTCTCTACACTCACCACACGAAACACAGCAGCATTAAGCTGCTATTTTACACTGGTATTCTGTGAGAGCGTGGTCCTTCACCGGTACGAGCCAACCCATTCGTGCTACAACTATACTACTAATATAGTTGCAGCTTAGCTCTAAAGTTGTACGTGGTACGTACGTATATAATTTACCTAATTAATCAAAATTGATTGCAAAGATAAGGCTTAAATGCGGTGTAAGAATATCCGCTACCCCATATCGTCCCGTGAGTGTTGTAAGAGGCGATAAAGGGAAACTGAAACAGGTGGTAGATAGCGGTGACTTCCTAATAACAGCTAGACGTAAAAAATGCGGTTGGCAATGCGCCTGCCAAGCATGGCACTACTATGGAAAAATGTCTCCTACAAGACAATCGATCCTACGTTCAGCGGTGGAGTTTTGGCTGTAATGGTAATTAATAAGTGGCTCACAGACATATGCAACCAACCTTAAGCGAAGAAGGCTAGAGTGCGTTGTCATCTCTAAGGGCTAAGATGGAATACCTCACAGACTGTAATTACACTGGCTCTCCAGCTCTCCACGCCTACCAGACTGGAACACGGTAATGCTAGCACAGCTATTTAGCGGCAGAAATATGTTAGACCTACTCAGACGGGATTCTAGGCGGAAAAAGGAGCCTATTAAATCAACGGCAAATATCGCCTCTATTAGGCAGTCTATGGTGAAAGGCTATGGTTCAGCAGTGAAATTTTGATGGGCTGTAATTCATAAATAAATTAATAATAAACGATGGTGAAACTATATAACAAAAAATATACCCAAAAAGTTTGGTGACGATTTTTATTTTCAGTTACTTGCGACATCAGTGAGTTAGATGGCAATCAGTACAAAATACACAAGGGAGTCAAAGCCCTCTCATTTTTATGTACATATGATTCCTTCCAACAATATCATCAAACCAAAAAAAAAAAATATAAAATATTTTACCAAGCTGGCCTATAATGATTTTCTATTTTTACGCGAACACTACACACGGAATAAAACTAACTTTACGGATTTTATCGCGTTTATTTCTAACTTTTTTAATTCCAGACGTTTCCGGCACTTTACAGTACCCAAAAAAGTTAATATTAAACGCGATAAAATCTGTAAAAATGGTTTTATTTTAAGCTACTCTAAATAGCCTCATTTTCCTCTAATTTTCCTCTCATTTTACCGAATTATTTTCTACTCGGTGATTGCGTGAAACTGGTTGTCAGGGCCCGATCTAAACAACTCCCTGGGGTAATCTATTGTTGCGTGTGTCTAATCATTGTAACACCGAGACATTACGCCACGGAGGCGCCCTTGAAAGTTTTAGTCCGAGGGTGCTCCAATACAACTATGGCTGAAT